TTGTGCAACGCAGTTACTATATCCACACGCTAGAATGTTTTAGGTATTCCATTTCATTGGACCACGTTCAACATGAAATTGGAGATACTTTTTAATTATTTTCTTAAAGTTTCTTATGGATGTAATTGAAACTGCATACTAGTTATAAAGGAAACATTAACTTTGTCTGATATTCCAGTGGGATAGCACGTTAACGCATGATGAGTGATCACTCGTGGCTGTGGGAGAACCAGCCATCATCTACCATTAGGTCACGAAACATATTTCGGCTTACAAATAACGTAGACAGAGCTGAGATTATTAATACTCTTGTACTTTCTGTGTAGTTAATGAAGAAATTTGGTATTCCTGGTGTTTTCTGAACAGATGAACACATTTACTCTTAGACAAATTAATTATTTTACATTAAACATACAATATGGTCACATTGAAATCCTTTGTATCTAATACTAGGAATAAGACGACATTCAGTTGTGGCGAGATATTTCGATGTATATCAGTAAAACGTTTTTGAGAGGAGTTTCTGGTGTTTTGGATATCCGAATGCAATATCTTTACACCAATGGAACTAAATAATTTGATAATGTGTTCGTACAAGCGTAAATGCAAGTTCGTAGCTCTGTTCAAATCTCAAGATAATAAGTAATTGTCCATACTGAACTTGTGTTATGTGGTAGAGAAAGCATGAGTTGATCGTAAATTAAATAAACTAGTTGACACTTGATCAAATTACCTCCACTTTGAGTCAAAGGGTGTTTGTGTATGATTCTTGTCGTCGCTAAATCTACCAAAACCATAATCATATTCCAGTTACCCTAGGGATGAAAACTACTGATTCTTTGAGGCAGATAGTTGTTCTGCGTAGATCATTACCAGGAGTATTGTTGACGTCTCTAGTGACCTCAAAATACAAATCTATATCTAACTTTTAAAACGTATTTCGTCAAATACTGCCGCGATGAAACATTGACGGTGTATTTCATGTGCCGAGGAATTGATATTTGTTAATTGTTAATTGTTAATTTTTTTTACTGTAAACCATTCTTCGCCCCCATAAGCCGACGATCTTTAGCCATACCACAGATAGAGTGAATTGAAGGGCAGTCACTCTGGGAAATCAAAATGCTGTAAAGGTTTCAAGGTTTATTGCGCTGATCGTTGATGACAATGAATTGGTATAGTTAATAGTAACGCAATATTCCACGCCTCAATGTTTCAATGACTATAAAAGTATGTATAGAAATTTTATCAATAAAGCAGGACATCCTTTAACACTGTAGTCTTAATTAAATGCCGCGCTAGGATCCTGCCCTTACAGCTTACATAAATTGGACACGGTACGCAGGATTTCACCAATGTCTGCTTCCGTTTCCAAAAGAACAACGACCTTACAAAAGTGAAAGCATCATGCAATAAATCGTTTGAATTGTCCATCAATCGCGTTTTTTCATCTTATAAAATTTCCGTGTAGCTATTACTGTTAAGTAAAGGTCACAAAACAGACTTATTTTTTTTTCAGGAATAGCCGTTGTCTAAGAGGCTTTTACTATAAAGAAGTGTTCTAATATACTTGTATTCGACCCGGTGAGGGCGGAAATAGTGTTTTTTTCTATAGGTCGTGTCAAACAATTTACCTCGATAGGAAATACGCCAGTGTGACGACAACCAGAAAATATTCTTATATCTGTGGCTAATTACAATTATTGATACCAACGTGAAGGCAAAAAGCACATACAGCTCAAAGTTGATGTCAAAAAAATAGACAGGGATAAAATTGAATTGTACACGGTGACTACAATAAAAGTACAAGACGATATACAAGCACGCGTTACGGAATGATGAAATATTTCTTCTTCATTACAGATACCCATAAAATAATCTAGGTCATATCCAAGCTAGTCACATTCTTAAAGAGACATGACAAGAGAACCAGATGGCGTACTAATGACCCTAATTAGAAGTCGATATTCATATTACACATGGCTATAGAAACATTCTCAAGCATGATGACGACTTGGAAATTGGTGGCAAAGCATGGATTTTGTTGCTTATTCGTATCAGTTCAGTATTCTCTTGATTCCTTAGAGCATTACAACGAGCCCATCAAATAATGAACCAAGAATTCAGACATTCGAAATGATATACAACCTTTGGAAGAATATAATGGACAGAGCATTGACAGCTTTTGAAGAAATAATTGGTTTCTGAGATTGCAGACGGGGATTGTTAGCTGGTACTTTGACTCTCGAGACATTTTATTTGAGTAATTTACGAATCAAAGTAAACAAATTAAGCATTTTTTTTAAACATTACAATCTTGGGTTTCGAGCTGTCAATGTTAACGAGCGATTAAAGATTTACAGATCATTTAATCAAACGAAACCCAATAATTTCAAGTTTTAATACTGTTACACGAAGAATAAGGCCAATTGTTCCGAAAGAGTAAGTGTCTTCTACTTCAAAACACCTGACAAGGAAATCTTGGTCTATCCAAGTAAGTAATGTCATGATCTCAAATGAGCACAATATATACTACAACGGAACCAATAGGCAAAATAACGAGCGACAAACAGGTGACATCACAAAAAAGAAGTAGAAGTTCAGAAATGAATTAAACTGTAACATACACCTGTTTCGTCCTTTAAGGATTCGTAGGTGATGATAAAAGATTAAATATTGAAACCTGGGAGGGGAATGTGAAAAATCATGTACATTGTGTGTCTGACAAATTTATAAAAACACGTTTAGCGCATCCCTAACTTGAAAATTTAAAGAGTGTTTTGCAGTCAGCTTTGGTTTGGCAATGATCTTATTTATAGCAAAGTGGTCTGGACAATTCATACATACATATTTTTAAAAATTGCTGTCCATTTTCTTGACATTATCAAACATATTATGTACGTGTCAACTGACACATTGAAAACGTTGAAATTGAATAACAAATTTAATCCCTACAAGTATAGGACAAATGATTCTTTAATTGCATTTAGCCGACGCTACTCTTTATCTAGCTTAACACTGGCCTATGTTTTCTAATCATTCTTTGTCATACATCCATCCCTGTAATAGCTATTTCTTGGCTTATGATAAATCCTCTACACTGCGTTCACAAAACAAAGAAAGGGTAAACTGCTAATTTGTAAGAAAAGGACCCATAAAAAAGCTTGATCAATATGTGTGCCATTGCCATTTCATTTGTAAGCACAGATTTTCAACGCTATGCTATGAATTAAATATTTTATTGTATTTGACAAATAAACAAAAAAAAATGATTGATTCTTAATTGTTCACCAAGCGTTAAACTTTTGCACTTGATAAGATTCTAGTATTTGTGACGTGTTTCCTGTATTCGAAAGCTTAACTATTGGGACAAGGAAAAATGTTTGCACTGTGTACTTATCAATATTTACACGTGAATAACTAATATTTGTTTTAATTAAAACCTCTGACAAACGATGTTAGCTTTAGAAGACTCCCCCGATATTTTATTCCCTTTCCAATTAATATCTGTGTCGTTGATATCTTTCGCTGACATTGCTCCTAATCACGTGATATGAAATCTTCCCCACTGTGGTAATTGTTTGATTTTTTTTTATCAATAGTAAACCAGAGCATTGCATTTATCGCATATCAGCACGCGCGGACTCTTCCCAGGGACACTGCACGCGCTACGTGTTTCATGACCTCGTTAACATCGGTATAAACACCAATGATGACGAGAATTCGAAATATGTTCAGTAATGAACGCAATATATTGCAATCAACAGCCGTTATAGAGTATGCTGTCTATTTATATTATATATAAAATGTCGGTTAATCATCCTTAATATTTCTACATTATTTCTCTTACACATCAGTGATAATAAGACTACTGGATTTTTTTCTGTGTCACGTGCCTGGTAATGAAAAATAAATACTTTTTAAAATGATGAAATTTTCGCTTTTTTTCGGAGGGAAAGGGGGTGGAATATGAACCTGATAGGGAGCTTATCAGTTGCAAACAGTCGGCAATCCTAATTTTTGCCAACATAATTTTTCCTGGAGAGTTGAGATACCCCTATCTCCTCCTTAAGATGGCGAATGATTATAATTTCTCTCATCCTGGTGTTCTGATATATTTACAATGAGTTTGATATTTGACGTGTCGTCATAGTTACAAAATGGGTTTCCTTCTTCCAATACACTGAGGCGAGACACAACCGCTTTCACCTGTGAATACGCCTGTCCATGGTAGGAGAATAAGCATACAATCCTTGTCACCAAATACGATGCGTAGTCAGGGACTTCTACCAGAAGAAATATAATCTACACTGATACAATTTTGCGGTTAACATTGCAACTTCATTTCTAAATTATATTGATCTAACTAACAATGACAGATATCAGGGAGAGAAAATTATCAAACGACGTCAGAAAGACCATTAGTCTAAAAATCAAACCATCGTGTCGCCCACATTTGCCAAGAATAATGCTTAATGGATATTCTGGTTCTGCATTTGTCTCACATACATGCTTCCTATAGTATTGATGTTATAGAATTTACATATTAAAGTTCAATGAACGGGCATCAGCAGAGTTACCTTGCATCAACAACAAAAAGTAAATATTTATAGTTACCACGATAAAAACATATTTTGAACACCCTGTAGTAACTTTCGATTGCCAAATGCAGCACTGCTACATCGGATTAGATTGACGCCTTGATCGCTTACGCTTAAAGTTTAGCGAGAAAGAAATTCTAATTGAAAGGGGTAGCAAACAGAAGAGCTTGTTATATTTGGTTTCGAAGATAGAACTGATTTAAAAAAAAAAATACTTATTGTTCCATCCGTTTACGTGCTCACTATCTATTTCCATTTCAGTTATGCTTTATTCTTTTACTTACTTACCGTGCATTTCTATATAGGTCTATTCCTTTACTTGTTTACCTTCTCTTCACCATTTCGGTATTACCTTTTCTTTTTCTTCTCCGAAATCATTTTGAAACTTTCTACTTTCAGCAATATCCTCTGCCGATATGTTCCGAAGACACAGTTTGTTCTGAAATAAGCGAGTTACCATCAATAAAAGAGGAGAGTAATTATTTTAGTTGGATGATGTGTCAATGTCCAGGAGAAAGCGTGTGTCCAAAGAGTCCCGGCAAACAGACAATCGAGGTCACGGGGTCAAAATGGTAAGCAATACCAAGTCACATGACACGTCATCTTGTCACCTCATCGATTATCAGTATTATCTTACCTTGCTGCAATATAAAATGAATGTTATATTTTTTTTTTTTTTAGATATTTATAATTTGTTTTATATGAAATGAATACTCATTAACAGTGTTTAATGATATCATTTCAAAGGGTATGACCTATACGTGAGGTGCTGGAAACTTTTGTTTTATATTAAGGATTATTAACATAAGCACAGAAGCATATTGCCTCACAATGTAAGTCTTAATTCAAATATTAATTACTTAATGTTCGGGACACAGCTCTTGTTTGTTAGAATCAAATTTCAAACTCACCAAAAACACTCGTTAAAAAGTTTCATATTTATTCTAGTAGTGTTTAAGATGTTATATTTTTATGTATAACCTCCTGCTAGAGTACAGATTTAAAATAATACATTATTTCATCGTCTTGAAAAGTTGACTAACTCACTCATACGCAGCAGGTGATGTTTGAAAAATGATTTGTTCGCAGCAGCTGCCTACTTTTATACGACTTTATTTCCTTTTTAAAATTTTTATCCATCCATCTTCGATTATATCATCGCGTTTGTAAAATGCTGGTTCAATTTTAAAATCATAAAACATATAAATCACAATTCAGTTTGAACCCACAAATCTGAACTTTTAAAATGTCACTAATGAGAAGTAATTAATATTCTGATGAACCCGAAAAAATAAAGGTCATCAGTTTGCAAAATTGATATATTATGTAATATTGATTTGGTATGACGTGTGACGCGATGTTTACGCTCAATGTAACTTATTATGGCGCCCTCTTTCGTCGCTCATACTAGAATAAATACGCAATATTGTCATTAATTTCTTCAAGTGAATCTAATGATCTAAACGGTATATTAATCACTTTCGGTATTACCGTCATCATCAGTGCTCTCATGATATCATCTGGGCCAGGGCAGCCATCACTGACGGGATCTGCAATAAGGCCGCCATTTTGGATAAAACGAGAACGTTTTCCAGTTTCGTCATTTGAATAATAGTTCCTTTATTTGGTTCTACTAAACCTGGCATATACAATTATCAAGGGATTGCCACTTCTCTTCAAGATTTGATCAAGCACACACGACTAAAGAAAGCAACAAGAAAATTCACATAAGAACGGTGAAGAGCGGCGGATTTCCAACCGGTCAATTGTTAGTGAAAATTTCCATTAGCGATCCCCCGAGATCTGAAATCAGACAGTTCTGCCTACATTATTCTACTGAAGATGAAGTCCTTTTATGGGTCATTTTTTAACCAGGACATTAATTACCCTGCGAACCCTTGGGGCTTCTTATAAAGGAATAATTGCTGTGAGAATCTCTAGGCTCAAGTGAATACTCATTGAAGACACTCCTAACTCTTTTTTTCGATTGTATGAGGTTGAATGGTAGATAATTTTTGTCAAGATGTACGCATTCCATTTTCCTTGTAACGTCTTTCTGTAACAGGTAGTCGAAATCGCGAAGTGATAAAATCAGCTAAGAAAATGATAAACTTCGATTCCTTAACGTTGCCATTGAGATTTTGGTATTTGTCGTGCAAAAGAGTGTGACACTTTTTGTGTGAATGAAATATACTTTTGCAAACAGCTGTATAATCACGAACCTCATTTTTTCTTGCATAAATGAAGTCGTCATGAAGTTGTACTTTTGCTTGAATCTCATGATAATCGCATACAATACACGACCAGTTTAGATTGTAAGTGACGGACAATGACACTTTACAAGGTATGGGACTTTAAACATGTCTGACGTCGAAATGAACGCTTTCTATATTTGCCTGAATTATCGACCATGTGATAACGAGGATATTAAATTCGTTCCCAAACACTACATGATAGAAACTCCTCATATCTATTTTTGCTTTAAACGATTTTCCCCGAAAATCGCATGTCTCCAACGAAAACTCGGGTAAGATCATATATGTGCATGCTGATAGTCTGTTTGCAAATCAAAAGAAATAATCCTATTCATTATCTAATCATTTCTTTGCCATTTCGAAGACCTCTTTCAATTGGATTTACGACAACGATTTCGTATCGCGTTAATGTCATTTCAACAGTTGTGGGTAACCTTGCTGCAGGCTTTTGGTTCAAAAGCGTATTTGAGAAATGATAACTGGCTGTCATACAAGTTTAATCTACATCTTTAGTTAATGACGGAAGATATTCATTATAACTGTGTTTATTGAATAAACTGCGTATCACCGAGATGTTAAATGTATTTACCTTGAGTTGCTGTAATCGCTGAAACTGACGTCCTCGTGATTTACCTACATATTTACAAGATCAGATACTCCTCGGTATCTCGAACTCGTATAATTCGATGTCAGCATTTAATTCAAAGCATTTTGCCTGTCGCTTGCCTAACTTTAACAAAACATTCAATAATCACTTATCTCGAAGTTTTGTCAAGGTCCCGCCGAATTCGAGATAACGAGATTCGACTGTACCTGTCAAAAATAATTTTAGAAATATTAACCAGCTTTGCAAAGAGATTGTTACATTGAGATCCTGTTTAACATCAAAACAATACCGATGTTGAATTATTACAATATGTGGACATCGAGATTGATATTATTGCCAAGACCAATACTATATAGGTCCGGGAGTTTCCGTGTACTGCTGACAGCGATAGTATTTCTTAAGCAACTCATAGATTTTCTATGTACTAGGATTGAGTCCCTTTGCAGGAAAAAATCAATTTTCTACTTACCAGGAAATATCTCATCGAAAGAAAGGATCTACCTCTTGTTTGTGTATCCTGTATAAAAAAGAATGAAAGAAAGAATGTAAATGATTGTTTTATGTGAAAATGTCAGAGATTTCAGAATTAAGGAAGATTTTAGCGGAAAGCATTCCCTTATATACTAACTGATTTAAAGGATTTTGTTAAACAATTAAATATTTGCACATAAAAAGGGTAAAAAAGAGAATTCCTACAAAAATAATGATAGGAGATTGAAAAAGGTAATGAACATATTAACGAAAGAAGGAAAAATAAAGAAAAACATCTGAAGAATTATTGTATTAAGAGCTTTACGTTATGACTGTTCGGTTAACCTGTGTTAACCATATTGTATTCATTGGGGTGTAAAATAAATTCTAGATCACTAGACAATGATATGACGTCATTTTACCCCAATATTGACAAACGTTTCAGGAAGCCCTTCCTGTAAATAGACATACAGAGGGAATTCGTTGTAATTTCATTAGATAGATAGGTGAATACATTAATTAACACCTGAAATGTTAAGCATTAATTATTTCGTCTGATTGTTTTATTGATAATATGAATGAAATCTGGCTGACAGATAGATAGAAAGACGGACGCTAGACAAATAATGTACTGTTATTAGAATCCGTATCACGATCCTATAGACTTAGATATGATGCCAACAAGAATTATTCATATCCTTTTAACCATAAAAAGTTCACCCACGACAGGCTTCTGCCTCGTTGAGAGATAAATTGTTCCCTATTATATAGTCTTTCCATGAATCCCTAAAAAAGAGATTTCGCCCAATTGTGTTGTAAATATCCTCCGTATATTTATTCTCAATGTCTAGACAAAGCCATGAATCTATGTAAAACACTCCAAACCAATGAAGCAGACGTAAACATATATCAAATTAGCGAAGAGATTCTTTGTAGAGTTTTCTATGACTGTTAGGGCAATGTCTCCTTTATGACGTGATTAAGTACATAAGAAAATAAGGATGTTTTTTAATAGATTTCGGTAAACAATAAACATAAACCTTGTTTTCTGGTGGTATTGTAATATAATAGCTATCGAAAGCATACTATAACTAATTCAAATGCATTTATCAAAATTTGTGTAAAAGATGTTTTTATTATCAACTTACGGATATTGCTTAGTATTTTTCAACTTAAAGAACTTCCTTTACATTCCCTTATAAGTTAAAGATTAACCCCCCCAACTCCATCCCCCTACCAGCAACCACAAATATGTCATTTGGAAGAGAAGAGAAGTTTCAATGCGTTTTTTCTATATTTTACGAAAGGACGCGAAAGGATGGTCGTTTCTAGCATAGCAGGATTGAATGAACAATTAAGGTTTCTGTCGTGTCGTAGGCATGTATTTCGGGCAGAATGCATTGTTCATGATATATATGGCGCTAATTGCTGTCTGTTCTTTGAGGGTCGTAGACACATGCCTATTATCTTTGTGGCCTTGCCTAATGGCGAGAAGAAAACACCACCGAATTATTTGGTAAAAATACCATTTAAGTCTGCTTCAAATATATCACAAATTACTTACATTTTCAGGAATCGGACTACTAGCATGGCCAAATACTGGCGAAACAAGTGGAGAATTTCAAACTGGTCTTAGCATGACGTAAAAAATATAAATAAAAACTTCAATATAAGCTTTATGTTCAAGTTTGAAATCACATTACAGCTCTGGAAAGGAATCGTCGGGTTACCTTTTATATAAAGAGTCTGTTGTGTCATTTTGCACTTTCTTGTCCTAAGACACATTTGCAGCAACGCTATTGTGACGTCATAAATGGGTCAATTAAGTAATCGGATACCAGAAAGTAGCAACTTAAAACATTTATAACACTATACAAACACATGGTTACAGACACAATACAGACTAGGAGAGAGCAAACTATTGATCTCTTAAAACGTAAGCAGCCTTCATATGTTTAGACCATTTTGTAATTTGTGAGTGAAAATCATACCGTCCATTATATATAAAAAAAGAAATTTGACATTACGTTACGATATCCATGTTAAACACCCTATTATTCAGTGTCGCAACATTTTATTATTATCAAAATCAATATCCCATTAAAAAGCCGTGGAGTAATGAACATCGCATTGTAAAACAAATGTAAAACATCTATCCTATTTTTATGGTGGCTGACTCGGGACATCGTAATATCGCTTCGTTAAATGGGAAGCGATATTGCGATATCACGATACCACGATGCGATATCACGATATCACGATGCGATACCACGATGCGATATCACGATGCGATACCACGATGCGATACCACGATATCGCATCGTGCTATCGTGTTATCGCATCGTTCTATCGTGATATCGCAATCTCGCTTCCCATTTAACGAAGCGATATTACGATGTCCCGAATCAGCCACCATATATTTTTGAAGTTTTATTAATATATTTTTTACAAATGTTTGTTTAACATGCCGGCCAGTGTCATGGCTGCACAAATGAATGTTACTGACAAGTTTGTGTCAAAGGTTTTAGAAGGTTTGTGCATATAGTTATATGTTCTAGCAGTGTCAAATAAGAGAACAATATTTTGTATTGATAGGTATGGCATGTGCAGACCCAAGTCTAACATTCGGTCCTGTTCACGAGGAGAAGTAGCCGAAGAATACTTAAAGGGAGTTCCGGAAATTCCCTTCGCAACATTCACGAGGGTAAGCATTTTTGTCTACAATTCATTATACGTGACTTTAATATCATTGAAGTTTGAATGTGTCGCCTTGTTTCCCCCTCATGTTACCACAAAACTTCCACATTATCAGTGTCATAAAACCCATTAAATCAGATTTTGGATATTACTCACGTGTGATATGACATTGCGGAGCTGTGATTGGCGAAGTGTTTTACAGTTTCGTTGGGACACCGTAGCATCATGGCGACAAATGCATTGCGAAATCGCCAAGGAAAGGATGAAAAATGAATTGGTGGATTTAATGATCCGCGAAATAGATGAAAATAAAGCTAACATAGAATTAATGAATGTGCAGTAATTACTACGGCAAAGAAGAAAGTGATCTCTGCGTCTTTAAAACATATAAATAGGTTGCTATTTCTGTTGACTATGATTCTATACAATAGTCAACATTACTTTATCTATACCGTTTGGTGATATGCAGTTAATTTCTGGTTACACAGTGTGTGGGTAGTGTGAAATATATTTACTCCGTTCTGCCGTATGTCTAATGAACAGAAAAAAGAAGCATACAAAAAGACGATAAGATTAATAATGTCATGAACTACAGCCAATCTATCACACGAGCATGGTAAACACGGGTGGCGCAGTGGTAACGCTGATTAAGAGTTACTTTAAATTCGTGAATGATGAGCTATTCGAGACACCCTGCGAAATTCCTATATATGAAAGCGAGTCATCCACAGTTATTTTCGCGGGGGATTTTAATTCATGATTGACCCTTCTCCCGTAGTGACGCGAAAATAAATCCCACGCGAAATATAAATGATTTACAGTAGATAGTCAAACCCAATCACGTAGTGCTTGTTTCAACAGCCAGAAAATCTCGTTTCACTGAGATAAAACGTCTGTTTTGTTAGTTTTGTTTGTTCTTCCTATGCGAAATAAATGAAGATTAAATGGCTTTACCTAGATATATCAAGTTTACTTAACGAGGTTCAGAATCACATATGATGGCTGAGAAATATGTATTAACCCGAAGCGACAGGAACGAATGCTTGTTGGACCGATGATATCTAAAGTAAAAGATCCTGTGATATTCAGCATCCAGACATACAAGTGCAGATTTCTTAATCAATCTTATGTAGAGTTGACAAATAACACAGAAAAATGAGGTACACACGTACCTGTATAGATAATGATAAAAATAGTTGTCAATTATCAAGCTGTGTTCAATAGGAAATGACCACGACAGTCAGAAAAGAGATGAAATGATGTATTTGTTTGCTGTTATTATACAAAGCTGGAACCATTCCTTATATAAAACATTTTTAGTAAGCCTCATTCCTTGCCGCGCCTATTGCTACGTAAAGATATATAGGCAAATACGATTCCTCGATCGGACGCTCAAACGTTTGGTGTCACCTCGGGAGTTTTCATTCAGTCCAAAAAGATCAACTTAAATATGTTCATATAACTTGTTTCACAGTTGTTTAAGTTTATAATTTATTTACATTACTGTGTCAACGATAAAAAACCAAATTAAAGTATTGTAAACACAAGGAAAAACAAATAACTGTACTTCAGCATTAATGGATATACTGACATGTTAACATTATCATATCTAACAGACAAACTACACCAATATAGAAGGACGAAGCAGCTGTATGATGCAGGTTACTTCATTGTATTGTTTGGCCCTACTGTATCTAACTCTAAATTATTAAAATATTTTATTCACTTTTGTGTCTTTTCAGTAATCTATGATAATATTTCGAAGGTTGAGACGAAAACATTACAATATCGAACATAGAAATTAAAGTATGTACACGAAACATTGCAGAATTACAACGCTTAAGGTTTAGGAAGAAACAAAGATTAGGATCGTAAATTTATTTTATTTTAAAGCCTGCAATCTTTCAGCTAAATTGATAGTTTGATACTACTGTCGTAGTCAAATAATGCAAGTTTAACTACAGATAAAACTTTAACAAATACAAGTCTTCTTGGAAAAATCAATAAGCACGTGAAGTTGGTTTAATTATAACAACTGACATGCAAAGCTGATGTGTTGTTGATACAGAGGTAGGGTAGAAGTTATATTCTAACATTTAACGTTTGTATAAACAGCGACATTTGAATTGACAAGACACTATACACCATTAGCCATAACTGATACCTAATAGACATACTGAACAATAGGTTATTATATACATATATTGCATAATTACCTATGTATATTTACCGAAAGCAATTACAGCAGGCCAACACCAGAATTCCTTTTAATTTTCAGTTTCGATAGATATGTCAAGTTAACGAAATGCATACTTTGTAAATAAGTCTGTTAGACAAGAACGAACCTACGTATGCTACCGCTCTCACAGACTTCGCCGAGTTCAGTTAATCTTTACGTCACGACAGAACAAACGTAATGTAAATTTCAGTTTCAGTATCTGTGAAATATGTTACTATTTCACGAATTTATCTCTAATTAAATAACCACCTCAGTGTTTTGGCTATAACAAGCGATTGTATATATTTCTGTCGCGGACCCCCGTGTAATGGAACTATACAAATAGTACCAAAATAAACCTTGTGAAAGCTAGTTATGCAAACAAGACAAGCGACACAGCAGCATGTATAGATTTTCACCATAGTTAGAGGAGTAAGCTGTAATTGGATTGTGTTTTAGCGTAATTGTTCTCTAGATATATTTACATATTGCGTAACGACTCTCATGACTTATTTATTGAGCATTGCACCAAAACCAAACGATAGTCAGGACGTTGAACCAGTGCATTCAGTTTATTTTAATTTTCGAGTAGTAACCTTCAAATCTATTCTAGGATTTTGAATTATTTTTCCCGAACACTTTACAGTATACAAAGTTGAACCTCATTATCTCAAACTCGGCGGGGCCAGGAGGGAAACTTCGAGATAACCGGGTTTTCTATTTAATTAAGTTCGAATGTTTTATGCAAATTTAGGCAGGGACCGATGAAATGCTTCTAATTAAACGGGATCTTAAAGCCACGCCGAGCTCAAGATAACGAGGTTCAACTGTGCTGTATTAAGCAGTGATATGTATATCTTCTCCAATCCTAATATGAAAATAATTTCCTAATTAATTATCTCTCAATTACCCCCTAACCCCGTAAAATTTCCATTGGAAACACCTGTCTTCATACGATATCCTGCTTAAGTGTTCTTCATAATGGTCTGCTAAACCCTTCAGCAGTGCTCATCACGGACGTGTCTGTAAGTCCAAACCGCTTGGACACTGAATCTCCTACTTGACCACTTGGTCAATTTCCTTCAAGCACCCGATATTTCTGTTACAATGGACATTGGTCAATGAGTCGATGATACGTAACACTTTTGTCAATGATACGTATCTGGAACTTTCAGTAATGACAGGTTTAAGGATTGTTCATGTTCGACATATATTGATGGAGAGTAACATTTTTGGTATAAAAATCGGTAAGAACGAAGGCATATGTCTTGTTTCACATGTCATATTGCGTTGAAGTATTTTCGTCAACTATTTTTTTCCAATCATTGCAGGTTCACTGTACGTGCCCACTATTAGAGTATGAGGAGACACGGCCCGAGATGGAATCGTCAAGCTCGAAAACTATCTACCAGCTCTTCTGTTCCGGTCGAGGTATGTATGTCACTTGCGGTGTTAGGTTTATTCGCTACGTTCTAATTTTCGATTTTTCGGGAACGGCATAAAATAAAAAATGTAGTATCTCGAAAATGGAAAATAAAAATTAGTATGTAAGCCATCTCTTGACTCATATAGGTGTTTTCATGATTTCCGTGAGAAAAACACATCCTTTCTAATTCAATGATTTGGTAAAATCACTAAAACATGAACTATACAGTATACAAGCCAGGGAATTCTTAAGACGGATTCTATAAGGTAAAAGACGATAAAAAAAACTAACATCAAAGGTTTATGTTACTGTAATATAATGAAAATTCGTGATTTTCTAAAAATAATTCCTTATGGTCGCTTTATTTAGTGGATTGACAATACTCATTCTACTAGTTCTACACTTTTAAGATAATGTTTAGAAAAGAATATATTTTAAGAAATTTAAAAGAATATAGTGAAACATATCTAGGTTGGAATTTTTGCTGTGGAAATTTCACTCGTACCTTTATCTAGAGCTCTGACTTTTTTAAACCCAACATTGAAAATTAATTTCCTGTGCACGGTCTACTCAACTTAAAATTGATTGATTATACTGCCAAAGCCTTAAAAGTAAAAACAGAATTTCGGAGATAATAAGGAAAATTTTATACCGTATGGTCCTGTATTAATTCAGATTTACTTATCTAACATGTCAAAATTCGATTGAAAAAAATCACAGCGGATAATTTATTTTACACAATTCTTATCTATTGTAGGACTACAAGCTGCCATGAAGAGAGGGAGAGGAGGCGGGCGTTACGGGGGTGGAAACAATGGTCGTCGATTCTATTTTTACCGAAAATAAATCAAACGCATTTGCGAATAACTAGACTAATTTGTTTATATCCAAGAGAGGTACAGTATCTATCACATAACCTCAGATTTTTCAGCATTTTCAGAGTTAATGTCAATGTATCGACTTTCTATTACACGTGCACTCCGTCACACGTGCAGGCTTGTGCAATTCATCAATCGTGTGCTAAGTAATATGTATGGAATTTCATGGATTTGTAAATAAAGAAATTGACATTATTGGAATGAAATAGACTTTGTCTTGATGTCCTTACCCGGCAAAAGTAATATCTTAATTACGACCTTGGTGTAAAATTCCCGCATTTTAACGTCTTAACACGGCGACAATATTAATGATTAATTATTTTCTGTAAATAAATCATGAAAAATAGTTCGTCACATTTGTTGAATTTAATTTCCTTTAGCACGCATTCTGTCTGCAGTTTAAAGACAAAATTATCGTAATTTCGAAGGATATTTTCTAATCGGAATGCACTGTTTAATTTCGTACAATATGACTGATATTATAACCCGTCGAGACTCATGGATAGTTATTGTAATTTTACAAAGCAATATCTTTACACAATGACTCATTGATAAATTCCACTCTGTAATGATAGAATTCACACAAAAAGGTGAATATCATATGAATTATTTCACTGACATTTCGGCTTCATTTAAAGTGTACAGTTATTGTCACCCTAGAATTCAAAAATAAAAAAACTAGCTGCAATACTTTACAATTTTAAATAGTATTTAAAGAGTATTGCTATTTGATGAAAATCATGTTCCAGCAATTTCGTATAGACCTCAAAATTATCTGCATAAGAAATTAAAAAAAAAACTTTTGTGACAAAATTGCGACATAAACATGATATCGAGTACACAGATACCAATACAGAAAACATTGTTTATTTATAAACGAATATCTTTCTTTATACCAACAAGTCATAAACAAGATCACATCCAGTACCAGTGTATCGTAAATGAGTTGACATGACGTAAATCACAAGGGAACTGATAGCCGGATTTCTTGTCTCCATGAACAGGAAGCTGCTTTCACTTTAGTTTTAATTACCGACAAAACTGCATTAATTAATTGAAATTAGAAATAGTCATATTTCATTACAATTATTCTCCTTTTAGGAAATTACATAATTAGCATGCTTTGTTGCCAGTTAAAGTGTCAATTTCAATACAGTTTGAAACACATTTCCAACGTGTCAGCTGACGATTGAAGAGACCATAGACAATGCTTCCTTGTTAGTCGGCTGCCAGGTTAGTGCACTGTAATTTGTGGCGCAGAATTAATCGTCGCTGACACTTCACTCGCGCCAATTTATTACATCAGATAACCTAACATCATAATGAAAAATTCTTTGTATTTGTAAAGCAAAGATTTTTCATGCAAATTACAAATTTCATAGAAATATGAGGCCAATATTTCTTCCCGTCTAAATTTTTTCGATAATTTTGGATTTTCTTCAGTCCTCATATGCTTAAAAATTTAGGCCCTTAACATCATTGGCAAGTCCTAGAAGGACGGAACAGCTGTATGGTGTAGCATTACTGACGAGTCCTAGAAGGACGAAACAACTGTATGATGTAGCATCACTGGCAAGTCCTAGGACGGAACAGCTGTATGGTGTAGCATCACTGACGAGTCCTAGAAGGACGAAACAGCTGTATAATGTAGCATCACTGACGAGTCCTAGAAGGACGAAACAGCTGTATGGTGTAGCATCACTGACGAGTCCTAGAAGAACAAAACAGTTGTATGATAAAGCATCGCTAACGAGTCCTAGAAGGACGAAACAGCTGTATGATGTATCATCACTGACGAGTCCTAGAAGGACGAAACAGTTGTATGATAAAGCATCGCTGACGAGTCCTAGAAGGACGAAACAGCTGTATGGTGTAGCATCACTGACGAGTCCTAGAAGAACAAAACAGTTGTATGATAAAGCATCGCTAACGAGTCCTAGAAGGACGAAACAGCTGTATGATGTAGCATCACTGACGAGTCCTAGAAGGACGAAACAGTTGTATGGTGTTGTTTCATTCATGGTTTGGCTCTACTTTATCTAACATTATATTTGCATTTTAATGTGTTATTCACTTGTGTGTCTTTTGTTCAATCTTGTGATTTTATCTGCATTTCACCATAGATGGCAATCTATTTTTAAAATCAACATTATTGTGTTCAGTAACCCCTCCAACTATATCATTTTAGCTGTGGTCACCAGTTCTTTCAATGCCTTCGTTAGGATTCGAACTCGGGTACTCTGGTTTACTAGTCGGACGCTCAAACGATCGAGGTCTAGCTGAGCGGTATATTGTGACTGGTATTTTACCAGGGTTACATCTACATATACACCTATATACCATAAACAAACACATAATGGCAGTCGCATCTATAGAGCTACATACAGCTGCTCTTTCAGATAAATATCCTTTCCCCAACAATAACTTATCGCAGCTCTAGAAACAGATAAAGTCACCACGTTACGTGATGGCGCTTCATTTCTTAAAATAGCTAAACGATCTTGAGATTAATTTCTCTCATTTTCAACTTTTGTCAGCAGTCATTGGGTAATTGAATTGCCAGCTCCTTTGTCAAGAACAAGGGGAAATCTGCCACTGTATATATATATATAAATTTCATTATTTTTTCTTGCTAAATTTCATACCAAGTAGGCGATATTTCCGCTGGTTCATATATCATCTGGTCGTTACCAGAAACTCAAAGTAAAAGGATATGTATACATTTCAATGAATTCATGAAGTTTTCCTCATATATTTTTATTTTCAAGTGTCTGTTTTTCGCGATATTATTCAATCCTGAAAAACTGATGTCAGCACAGGTCTAGGACGACTGAGGCACATCATATTCATCAGACTTGTGTTTGTAACTTAGCGTAAAAGTAATGCATCTTTATCAGACTCGCGTTTACTACAGAGTGTAAAAGTAATACATCTTTATCAGACTCGCGTTTACTACAGAGTATAAAAGTAATACATCTTCATCAGACTGGTGTTTACTTCTCAGTGTAAAAGTAATACATCTTCATCAGACTCGCGTTTACTACAGAGTGTAAAAGTAATACATCTTTATCAGACTCGCGTTTACTACAGAGTATAAAAGTAATACATCTTCATCAGACTGGTGTTTACTACTGAGTGTAAAAGTAATACACCTTCATCAGACTGGTGTTTACTACTGAGTGTAAAAGTAATACATCTTCATCACACTGGTGTTTACTACTGAGTGTAAAAGTAATACATCTTCATCAGACTTGTGTTTACTACTGAATGTAAAAGTAATACATCTTCATCAGACTCGCGTTTACTACAGAGTGTAAAAGTAATACATCTTTATCAGACATGTGTTTACTTCTCAGTGTAAAAGTTATACATCTTCATCAGACTCGTGTTTACTTCTCAGTGTAAAAGTTATACATCTTCATCAGACTCGTGTTTACTACTGAGTGTAAAAGTAATACATCTACATCAGACTCGCGTTTACTACAGAGTGTAAAAGTAATACATCTTCATCAGACTCGTGTTTACTACAGAGTGTAAAAGAAATACATCTTCATCAGACACGTGTTTACTACAGAGTGTAAAAGTAATACATCTTCATCAGATTCGTGTTACTACTGAGTGTAAAAGTTATACATATTCATCAGACTCGTGTTTACTACAGAGTGTAAAAGTTATACATATTCATCAGACATGTGTTTACTACAGAGTGTAAAAGTTATACATCTTCATCAGACATGTGTTTACTTCTCAGTGTAAAAGTTATACATCTTCATAAGACTCGTGTTTACTACAGAGTGTAAAAGTTATACATATTCATCAGACATGCGTTTACTACTTATTGTAAAAGTTATACATCTTCATCAGATTCGTGTTAATGCTGAGTGTAAAAGTAATACATCTTCATCAGACATGTGTTTACTACAGAGTGTAAAAGTAATACATCTTCATCAGACATGTGTTTACTACAGAGTGTAAAAGTAATACATCTTCATCAGACTCGTGTTTACTACAGTGTAAAAGTAATACATCTTCATCAGACTTGTGTTTACTACTGAGTGTAAAAGTAATACATCTTCATCAGACTCGTGTTTACTATAGAGTGTAAAAGTTATACATATACATCAGACATGTGAATACTACAGAGTGTAAAAGTAATACATCTTCATCAGACTCGTGTTTACTTCTCAGTGTAAAAGTAATACATCTTCATCAGACATGTGTTTACTACAGAGTGTAAAAGTAATACATCTTCATCAGACTTGTGTTTACTACTGAGTGTAAAAGTAATACATCTTCATCAGACTCGTGTTTACTACTGAGTGTAAAAGTAATACATCTTCATCAGACTCGTGTTTACTACAGAGTGTAAAAGCAATACATCTTCATCAGACTGGTGTTTTCTACTGAGTGTAAAAGTAATACATCTTCATCAGACTCGCGTTTACTACAGAGTGTAAAAGTAATACATCTTCATCAGACATGTGTTTACTTCTCAGTGTAAAAGTTATACATCTTCATCAGACATGTGTTTACTACTGAATGTAAAAGTAATACATCTTCATCAGACTCGTGTTTACTACTGAATGTAAAAGTAATGCATCCATCAGATTCGTGTTAAGGCTGAGTGTAAAAGTTATACATATTCATCAGACATGTGTTTACTACAGAGTGTAAAAGTAACACATCTTCATCAGACTTGTGTTTACTTCTCAGTGTAAAAGTAATACATCTTCATCAGACTCGTGTTTACTACTGAGTGTAAAAGTTATACATCTTCATCAGACATGTGTTTACTACGTAGCGTAAAATGAAATGATCCGGAGGAGAGTTGCAGTGTTATTTTTCAAAACTGGTTAAGTGTTCTATAAATTATGCTTAACAAAGTACGAATATATAAAACTGAATTCATATTTTCTGCAGAAGTAGCCTTTAAGAACACGAGTTATATTTGTAGACTTTAAAATGCCTGCAATTCCCGGGCGTATACAGTATGCAGTGACAAATGCATTTATTTACTATGGCTGCCACTAAAAGAACGGAAGTCTTGAACAAATTTTAAAATCACTATAGAATGTAACATTAAATTACCATAGAAAGGCAGACCAAACTTTGTAGAAAATAGCAGCTGTTCTCGAATGCTCCGAGCATCCTAGAGTACCTGTCACCCATATGAAATGTCTCCGGAGATAGTATCGTAAAACATTTTCTAAAACCTTAAGATTTGTTGTTGTTTTGGTAATTCTTTTGTTTTCATACACATGTGTCCAACATGTTTATTTCTTAGTATATTTGTTAGGTATTTTTTTTATAATCCCTTGCGTTACGGCATACAGATAGTATAAATGTTTACTAAACACTTAAATTTCACTGGGAGACACAGCAGCTGCAAGGATTGTTGTGGAACTCACTGAATCATAGGGCTAGCGCACCTTTCCAAAGAAATTTTAACATATTTGCACATAGTGCACGATTTTTTAAATTTAGATATAAATTTATGCAACATATTAACAGGTATTCTAACACAAGTTGATTTTCATCCCGTGAGCAATGATAACATACGTCTAATGAACCATGTTATAATTTATTGTAAGTCTCCTTCTTCTTCTTCTTCTTGGAGGGATAGGCGTATGTACGTTGTTATATGGGTACTTTTAATTCTTTTATTTCAAGGAAAAGTTATGTACGCAGAATGATAAATTCATCGTTAAACCTGACGTATACTGTTCAGCAAGGAGATACTGACCGTAGTATCGTGTCCGAGCTACAGAAAGACATATCTAACCCAATTTCCCTAGGATCTCTGGACATTGATAATCACTAACATTATGTGTGTCGATATGAAGCCTTATTGGACTCATTGAAAGCTATGTCCTGAATAACATCTTTGTAGTTGAAATTTGTAATGCTTATATCTGGACAAATCTTAAAAAGTAAAACGAAAAGTATTCAAAAAAAGTTGGGAGAAAATTTCAAAATACACGAAAGAAGAACAAGGTTTTAATGTCGGCAATGACAGCTCCACAGCAGAAGATACGGAAAATTAGTAGTTACTCTCTTGATATCGATTGAAATCTACATAGAACAAATTCACGTGCACCTACAAAGAACAAATTCACGTGCACCTACTGCTTTCTGGCTGATTTAAATGTCGCTATCCCGATATTAAAAGGTACTGGTTATTTCAAATGGCACTAAATAGAATTAGGGGGGATCTGACAGTGTGATATGTCAACAATTTAGTAAAAAAAAAAATATTTGTATTATAGGAACTCTCACATCTATGTCACTGTGAAAACCATGTCAACGATTTAAAAAATACCCTGAAATATATGAAACATGCTCCAATGTATTTCCTATACCTTGTTTTTTTTAATATATATCATCTTCCTTTCTTGAATAGATTTTTGTTTGGTTGTTTGTTAGTTTCTGACACGACAACACAGACTGGTTTCTCGGCTTCCTAAGAATGTGTATGATAACAAAGGACCGCAGCTCAGAGATTCAACATCACGATCCAAGAATTTCACATATAAAGTAGAAAAGCCTTAAAAACAGATAAAATCAAATAAAATTCCCGGCTTGATCATCTACAAAATCGATTATCTTGGAATTCATGTTCTATTCAAAGTAAGGCGTCTGTCGATCCTTTATAACCTTTCCCAGCATTACGTTTTGGAATAGGTTAAGAATGTTAAATTAAAATATAATTATGTGTTTTGGAACGAAGGTATACCAGACTTTTCAAATATCAATTCAGTATCAAATAAAGGGAGATAATTAAACCTCCATTGCATGTGGTTTTAAATCTGCTTACGTTGATATTAATTTTCGTCAATATTTATATGTGCCTCTTGAGAATTTCTTATCGAATTCATTATGTCAATGACACGTTTTAGCGAACAGGTACTGACGGTGAAGGAACACATTCTCCTGTACTAAATCATATTATATAATTTCAAGTAAATATAATCACCGTAACTTTTTTTTAATTTAATTTGGAATAATTCTGTTTTCGGGACTCCAGAGGATTCTAGATAACTCTTTATCAGATTCTTCAGTAGTAAGTGGCGAGGGGCATCCATACAAGCTTTGTAGATAGACACCGTAGAGCAATTGACACATGTATATTTGTATATACTGAGAGTGAGAGTTCCCACATCATTCTAGTCCTTCTCTAGAAAAGGAGGTAATCAATTTTCACTGACAAAATCCAAGATGGCCGAGAGGGCGTGAATCAATATCGTGCGCCAGCTATCCTTCTTCGCAGTGTCCATGTAGACTAGAAATTATATATCGTGCTTATGTTCATGATACAGCTAAAATATCTCTGGATTCTCTCGTTTTGTGGAAATATGAACACTTTGAACTAAAGTGTCATTTGATGAGGAAGCTTTAGAGCGCTCTATCCAGGATATCTACTGGCGTAAAATCAGTCCTATGTTTTTAACATACTTGACACCTGTGACCTTGGAAATATGTCAATGTCACTTATATGAGGAAATTTCATAGTATATTATTTTATCATAGGTACCTACCGGCTAAATATCAGTGAATAAGGTCATTTAGAATATGAGCAGAATTTCATAATATACATTTGACATGTGTGACATATAAATATGTCAAGGTCATTTAAATGAGGAAATGAAAACTTTATAGCATCCATTCTATTATGTACCTACTTGCACTATATCATGACTTAATTTCTTTTGAACTTGAGAATGTTCCTTTATATAAACATGAAACATTGTGACCTTTTAAATACGTCAAGGTAATTTTTAAGGAGGATTTACAATGTTCTAAGCTAGGTTCCTGTTGGCATAATATGGCGTTGGTCCTTTTGGCACTTACGAAGAATATTAAATCTGTTAATTATATACACAGTCTGTGACCTTGAAATTAAGTCAATGTCATCTGTATCAGGGCAGCACAAATTGTTCCATCCTAGCACATGCTGGCTTAACATCGGAGCTATGGGTATTTTAGAACTCGAGTGGAAGGAGTATTTTAAAAATGTTCTAAGCATATTTGACTCATGTGACATTAAAGACAGGTCAAAGTTACTTTAGCATAAAACTTCATTCTTGTATCATTTCATCTCAGGCTCTTTCTGGCAAATATCAGTAACCTTGGTCTTCTGGAAGAGATAATGCTGAAAGTTTTTTTTTTTTTTTACACATTTTTGACCTACTGTGACCTTGAAATTAGATCAAGGTCATTTTAAATAGGAAACTATGTAGTATTTGGTATTTAGGCAAACATAAGATCCCATATGAGATATTCATGTCTACAATCATAAGATCTCCTTTTCTCTCTACCTTATTCTTCTAAGAATCAATCCAGTACAGTACTCCTCAAAATAGTCATGAAATAAACAGTTTTCGTAAAGCATCATATGGCCCTTTCATTCATTAAGAATATCTGATTCTACCAAACTAAGATATTAAAAAGAAATTAAAAATATCGACATATTTTTGGCCCTGTATCTAAGGCCCCTGGTAGGTTATTTACAGTTTTGGTTCATGTTGGTGGTAGGTTTCTGCAAAATTTAAGTGAAATCTGTTCAAGGGGTTTATAAAAGTTGAAAATGTAATGAACGTTAGCAGATGAAAGGGGATAGCAATAGGTCACCGTGAGACATCATTCTTAGGTGACCTAACAAGAGATTTTAGGGGTGATCTTGGCACTCACCATTGTTAAATCTTTATTTATTCAATAGAAGTTGGATCTTTTCCCTTCTTTACTCTCCTCTGTTTTTGCTCTTACTGATACAACATTTGAACATTCCTTTGCAGAAACAACAATAATATTTTACTGCCAAATCAGAGATGGTTGCCTGGCAGCCATTTTTTATCTGATCAGTCCCTCAATCAATCTGGCACAAATAGAGGCATACGAGGAGTTACAAATGAAATCTGAAATAGATCAATCCAGTACATCACAACAAATAGCCATAACAAACTTTATTAGGTAAAATCCAAGACAGCTGACTAAGCATAACCACAGACCAAGGGGAACTTACCTTAGAATTTTGAAAATGGTTCATTCAGGATTTTTCCGAGAAATTGTGATTCTAGACTAAAGCTTGAAGCAAATATGACTGTGTACTGGCCATTTTGTTTTCATATCAGTCCCTATATTGACAATACACAACAATGGATTAAGAAAATTTACACATGAACTTCGGAATGATTTGAACAGCAGACTAAAAATGACTATAAAAGATTGAACAATCAACTTTTATTAAAAGATTTCAATATACAATGTATTAGAATACAAAATGACAATATGATAAATAAGATGTTTAGGAACGACAGAAGAGGAGAGTCTAGAAGGGGAAGAATAACAAAAATGGACAAGAAGGAAAGTACAAAATTCTATCTGAAAGTTCAGGAATCAAATCTTTTTGTTACAAACACAGAACATGTTTTAAAACCCAAACACAGGAAAAATGTTGTGTCATCATGTTCATGCTAAAAATGGTTCCCTACTTCCATTATCTACATTTCTTCATTATCCAGATGCTATATGGTTGTAAAATTATTTTCTACTAGCACAGAATTCTGAACCTCCATTTATAGCACATGTGGAAGTGTCAGTATACAAAATGGCCGTGGAAAAAAAAACAAAACAAAACAAACAAAAACAAACAAAGCGAAACAAAAAATTACATATTGCATTTTGTACTTTCCTTTATGTCCCAAACCAATTGTAATCAACAATGCCATTTCTCTGTCCTTACTAAATAAGCTCTGTCTATATGTAAAAAATCTACATCTTCTGTTTAAGTTGTTCTGCCTGTTCTCCATTATGTACTCTCATACATCTATACCTTCTGTCCTTCGTTAATTAACTCGACCCTCGAATACAATTAAAATTACCTCCCTTATATCAAAAAAGGTCAAAATTATGCCTGATAAATTACAATATGTACAAAAAATATATATCATTGTAAAACTTTTTATTATTGAATAAAATTAATCCCGGTTATCACAAGTCTCTGCACCTTAATCATTCTTCATTCTCAACAATTTTTCCTCCCTCCATTTTCATGTTTTCTGATGTATGCATGTCCTGAAACTTTGTACACAGAGCTCCAATCCCAGAGAAATCAAACTTCTCCCCTATTCTCCAAAGATACAGAAGCCAATGTAATTGTTTCGGAAACAAATACAAGGTGTTCTTTAAACTGATTGAAAACAGCTATGTACGAGTTGAAAATCTACATACTGCAAGTAACATCAACACTGACAATAAACATCGTAGTTGGGGGACGTATACAAATTACAATGACAAACAAATAGCTGTTCATTGAAAAAACATGACTGTACCCCAGCCTTATCATAGTCCTTTCTAACTAGCCTTCCATCATAGGTGAAAGTAGTTTGTGTTTACAATTCCAATTAGAGTGATGATAAAACAAATATTGAAACAACAAAGAGATGTATGATGAAATGTATAAAGAAATGGTAGATTAAAAAACAAATGATACTATGACACAAGTTTATTTTTTTATTTAAACATCGCCCCAACTATGTCTGTTCTGTAATTCAAAGCAAGACATTAAATTCTTTAAAAGATCATTATACTATGTTAATATTTTTTTACATCAAGTTGTGGGGAAAAATGGCAAAGCCCTCAATTTTCAGTCTGAGAGCATGTTGGAAGGGAGACAACTTGCAGAGAAAATACATTTTCCTTGGATATCATGCATGGATACAAAAACGCAGAAAATTTGAAATATAATAACACTTCCATTGCAATGGTCCCACCTGGGAACAACACTTAATGCTAACTCAGCATTGTGATGATACAAACCACCATGCTACACAGGATAGAAAACTACAACAGGCTTTAATATAAATATATATCTCGCTAATGAAGCGTTATCTTATAGATTCCCCTCTACAAGAGTGCTTAACTCAAAAACACATTTATTGTCTTAACAGTTAAAAAAAAGAATAAAATTTTTCATAAAACAAAATTATTTTGATGTATTAATTTTTTTTCTGATATTTCATTAAAATAACAATGAAATCAGCAAGAAATAATATCCTACTGTTAAAACCCTACCTAGAAATTTACACTTAGGTTATAGGTAAGAAATTTCTTCTTCTTCACAAAGGTTTTGTTTGTAACTTCTGTTTTATTTAGTCTTTCAAGCTACACCTTTCCATATTATGTTTTCATAAATGAACAAGAAAGAGAAGATGCAATGTTCAATACTCAAACAATGAAAGTCACCAATCGGCAAAAATCTCAATTAATATTTTAGTACAAGATTTTTTTTCTGATTACTATGTTTAGGCAATAATAGGTCAATATTTCAGTTTAGGCTCAGTATGAAACTTCCATTTTGTACATAGTTCTACGTCTTTGATCCGTTCATCACACTTTTATCTTTGTATTAATTTGAGCAAAACTTGCCTGATTGCAAAAACTGGAAAAAGTTAAAAGAGTGAATGTACGCATATTTCATCTCAATATTACTTTTCATATTTACAGTTTGCACAAGAAGTGCCTAAGATGGTCAAATAAAAAAAAAAAAATACAAATATGACAAGCAAAAACACCTGACGACCTGTACACAAACTCTCATCCACTAACATAAACACTCTTGCACGTGTCTTGTGACTTCTCTGCTAGGATTCTTTGTTAATAATACCACAATGACCAATAACAGACGCCTCTGTACAAGAACGAGTCTAAATACGACACAGCAGGACAAAAGTGTGCTACCGAATACTCCGGTTTGAATCTGAAGTGATCTTTTGCAGTGAAGTTTTTTTTAAGCTGAGTCTCTTGACATCATTCTTGGCTAAATTCATTTACAACCTCCACAGATGGTTGTCCACAACGGCTAAGAAAGGATAGCGCCCTGCTACAAGTGTAGCACACGGTTAAGATTGATCGCTAAATGATGTGATAGTGGCCATTGTCTGGGGGTTATACATACATATATATATATACAGAGTGCTGCTAACACTAACATCTTTAGAAGCTTTTTGCGAAGTCCTGGGTGATATCATACTCTAAGAAGGAGTTGGAGTGATGTTCATAGTAGCCATATTTCTTCTCTTGTATGACCTCTCCAGCACTTCTCTTCACAATCAACCGACTCATCATTTCTGTAATAAGAATGTCAACTTATTATCTTCCCTGGACAGATGTATCCATGTTTTAAGTAAGGTGAAATTTCCTTGTCATACCCCAAGGGTAAAGGGATATCCCCCTCCCTAAACAATAAATTGTGAGATGTCATAACAATTCAGGACGGAAAATTACTTACTCAATAGCAATAAAACTATTAAAGATATCAATTATTGAGAGATGACATTACTATTTCTATCCAGGGTAAGCTGGTAAAATGCCTATCATAGTCTATTTGCTGTTCAGATTGTCTTGTAATAAGCCCATCATAGTCTATTTATTACCTGTTCAGATTGTCTGGTAAAATGCCTATCATAATCTATTTGCTGTACAGATTGTCTGGTAAAATGCCCATCAGTCTATTTGCTGTTCAGATTGTCTGGTAAAATGCCCATCATAGTCTATTACCTGTTCAGATTGTCTGGTAAAATGCCCATCATAGTCTATTTGCTGTACAGATTGTCTGGTAAAATGCCCATCAGTCTATTTGCTGTTCAGATTGTCTTGTAATAAGCCCATCATAGTCTATTACCTGTTCAGATTGTCTGGTAAAATGCCTATCATAATCTATTTGCTGTACAGATTGTCTGGTAAAATGCCCATCAGTCTATTTGCTGTTCAGATTGTCTGGTAAAATGCCCATCATAGTCTATTACCTGTTCAGATTGTCTGGTAAAATGCCTATCATAATCTATTTGCTGTACAGATTGTCTGGTAAAATGCCTATCAGTCTATTTGCTGTTCAGATTGTCTGATAATAAGCCCATCATTGTCTGTTTGCTGTTCAGATTGCCAGGTAATAAGTCAATCATAATATATTTGCTGTTCATATTGTCTGGTAATAAGCCCATCCCTATTTCTGAATCATAGGTATCATGCTGAATCCCTGGGCCAATTTAAGGATAAAAAGTTACTATATATTATAATACACAGTCTTGTTTTAAACTAGACTGTCCATGAGACTTACCATCATCTCCAGCAATCCTCATCAGCTGGAAGGTCTTGTATGTGCTACATTCGTTCACAATGTAGGGTCCCAGACTGGCAATATTCTTCAGAGCAGGGCTCACCACTCTGTACTTCCTCCTGAGTACATTTGCTCGTGGAAGATAGTAACCAGACTGTGGAGTAAACCATTGTTTTTTTTAACCAATCAAAACAATCATCTCATTTCCTTCAGAACTGTTTACAAAAATACATATTATCATATGTCTCCAGGGCTCTCGATCTGCCAGATTTGGTGCCGAATTCCCAATGCAAAATAGTATCTTTTTTCCCCAATTTCGACCCCAAGTTTTCCTAATTCTAAGGAAAACGCCGCTATTTTTCCCAATTCTAAAGGCCCCGGGCCCCAGTCCCAAAATGGAGTGTGAGAGCCATGGTCTCACACATTCTTTGGCAATTTTTAAGCAAAAGACACTGAAGTTTTCCTTTTTCTTCCTAAGAATAGCACATTCCCTAGTTTTTCCTCCCAAGAATAGCACATTTCTATGTTAATCATGCCAAATAGAAAGAAACTTGTATCATAACATGTAATTGTTAGGTTTAAATTTTGATGCAGTTCAAAATATAAAATCAACATCTTGTAAATTCTTTAATTTGAAAAATCCTCCTAAGTATGAAAATTTTACCCCAAAAACATCGCTCTCCCTAAGACAGGAGAGGATATTTAACAGTAGCAGTAGCCTATATCTGAAGTGAATAGAAAAATCAGACTTTGTACCTAGGGTATTCATCTCTCAAATAGATAAATTTTTGAAAGAAATAAAGAATAATGAAAAGGTAGGTCCATAATCATAATCTATTTGGTGGGTTCAGATGTCTCTACTATAACATACTGTATCTCTGGTCTGATGGGAGTCATAAGAAAAATGTACAAGTCCAGCGAGTCAACAACATAAATTTTCCTACTTGTATGACGATCAAAATATCTGTGTATGATATTTTGTAAATGATGGATGTGATGAGGTGTACACATTGTGATCTAGCAACATGCAAAGTTAAGCTTAAATTATTCTTTTATTTCTGGAAGCAAATTTTTAGGACTTAATCGCAAACTCTTGGAATCATGCATCAATACCAAACATTTTCAACTGGTAATACAGAAAAGCCATTTACACCATGAAGTCTCTTGAAAGATGTCCCAATAATCTAGGTCTCATTACCTGATATGGAAATGGTGAAATGGGTATTAGTCTATGACCAATATCACGTATCTGTAGCTAGGGAAAATACTCACGTTGATTTTATTGAGGAGATCAATGAGGTTCCTGGGAGGCGAAACTTCATTTCTGTTAAGGTTCATCACATAGCACACTTTGTCGTGGTAGTCAACAATGGCAGACTTGTTCTAAAAAGCAAAAAATGTGTTTACATCAAATCACACAAGCTCAGGAAATCTGAACCAATCAAAAAAAAAAAAAAAAAAAAATTAACCAAAAAAATTAAAAGGAAAATGAGCAATGAACTGCTCTTTTTGTTGACATTCATGAACTAGCACCTAATGACGAATTTAACTTTATCTAGTATGCAATTATAAGCCCATAAATGCCACACAAAACAGAAATTTTATACCATTTCTTTCAGTCAAATCCAGAAAACCAATTACAAGATTTTGACTAGTTGCAATTCTAAAAGATATTGTGAGGTATCAAAATTCGAGTGAGCAAGTTCAACAGCAAAAGCTGGAGTCCAGGATTCAGATATCAATGTCCCAAAAATCACAAACGAAAGCAGTAACAATACTTAGATATCTACAAGAAAATTAGAAATATAAAACATTACAAACTAGGGTTGTCATGGGTACAAAGTTTTCATTTGGGGTATATGAACCCTAACTTTGAGACCCGACCCGTTTCCCAGGTGTTTGTAACCTCCTTATTACAAACTACAAGTGACACTCTTATTACAAATAGACCTGCTAAGTACATGTCCAACATACAAATTTATGAAGGAATATTGCCTGTTTTTACACTCAAAATAATTATATCATTCTTCCCATTTTCTATCACTCTCTGCAAATCCATTTCTGAGAGTAAACACACTAATATAATTATACATTCTCCCTACACAGTCAACCTTAAATGATAGGGACATATATGTAAATTAGAATTTCTTACCCTTTCAAAGTCATGCAGAATGAGAGACTTGAGTATATCATCAATTTGTGGCATGCTGATACGTTCATAGATATTATCAGTGACCTCAATCTCCTCCTCCATTTTTACTGTGGTGAAGAATGGGCCATGATGATGTTTACGATGTTTACGGTGGTGGTGTTTGCGAGATGGACGCTCATCAGGAACAGTTAGACCGCCATCGTCAATCCTAGGAAGGTTGCTGGTGTCTTGGAACATCTGACTAGTGGGACTCTCCTCGGCTTTCCTCAAAATAAAGGAGCATCGTCCTTTGGCATGTTTAAGCTGGAACAGTTAACTCATGGGTTTAGAGTCATACAAAACTAGTACTGTGTAATAAAAATGAATTAATGTTATTTGTAGCATAACAGTTATTTTTTTTTATAATTGCTATGAAATTGAAATTATTTTTGTTTACAAACCTGGCATAATTTTGACCCAATGGTAACTCTCTTTTGCTTGTTTACAAAAAAAAAGAAAAATTAAGAAAAAAAAAAGAGAAAAAAATACCACCTTGAGAAATATTGGGAGTGCATGGTGAAAAATGTAACAAAATCCCAAATTGGAAACAGAAATTCAGAACACATACCAGGTAGATATTAAAATTTACTCATAATTTATATATATATATATATACAGTATATTTCTGTCTTGTTAAACTTGTATACTTTGATAAAGCAATGCACATCCATCTAAAGCTAGGACTGACTGTCAACAAAATAATGCATAACAGGTCAGCACCCTAAAGACATTTAGACAATTAGATAATGAAACAACTGCTATTTTGGGAATTTAATCCTTGGATTGGGAAAAAAATTAAAGACTTTGCCACTGGGAATGGGCCTATATCTGGCACTAAATTCTGCTTGAAAAAACGTAAAGGCAATAACTATTTCGAGAACGTCAAGCTATCTGAGTCCAAATTGAGAAGATTCAGTGATATTTAAGATCAAATTTGGAAACAAAAGTAAAACCATTTCGCGATTAATTTCCCAGTTGAATATGGATAAACCAGTTTCAATTAGAAAATATTAAGACATAATGGAAATAGCCATCATAATTACTGTCAGTTATAATGCGTATTAGGTTTTCTATATGAGCAAACCTTGTTGGGAGACATGTGGTTCTTGTACAGGTAGTAGCCAGCTGTTGCCCCTGTGGCCAAAACCAGCAATGCAATAAGAATGAGGAACAGATTCAACCATGTTTTCGACCTCTGCTGTCGGACATTCACTTGTACTGGCTCTGCGTTCTCTGCATCAGTCTACAACAGAAACAGATGATCTATATACAGGAGAAGTGGTGATGCAAGTTCAACTATTGACGAAATATTGTGCTGTAATACAGCCAAGTTTACCCGAGGTTTGCTCTATTTTTTTATGTGGTTTAAATAATCATCCAATTTTACGTCCTGAAGAATTACTCTCAAATAGGACCGATATGTTTGATTCCTAGTTTCATATAACACAAGAAAACCCAAAACATACAAAAATGACCTTTTCACATTTAACAATTGGTGGATAAGAAGTATCTACGACTCATGGTATTTCACCTTGCTTAAAATTTCAAAAATGGTTGTCCCAACACTAACAAATATTTTATGACACCAAAGACTAGGTCATAATTCTAATATATAATCAAAAGTTGGATAAATGGATTTCAAAATTGTTTTTGTCTTGATCTGAGTCGCTGAGTTTATGTATTGACTATGATTTATTATTATTTAAAATTAGATGCCAGTGTTTATTTTTTCAACTTGAAATTTGATAGCTGCATTTTTGCTTGGGGATTTCCTAGAAATGGGCAGTGTTTCTTGTACTTACTTATCTGTGATTCTGGGAAAAACATCAAGATCATCTGACACTAAAATACATTAAAATTGAAACTTTCTGAGATATTACCAAATAACCGATTAAATGTTATGTGTTCAAATTAAAATTTATTACAGACATTATAAACTTCCATATATCTATATCTACATTATAATATGTACACTCCATCCAAACCTGGCCATCATACACATATTTTGTAACATGTATTGATAAATTTGGCAAGATGCCAAATTAAAGGTCAAACTGTATGTTGAGTTCACAGTCATTGAATAGACTGATACAAACTTCCTGTACTGGATCCTGTGACACACCGGAATACACATGTTGACAACTAGTTCTATATAATCAGCTAATCGTGACTTATCATATTCATATCATGATGGTGGCTTATCATATTCCTCAAAAACTAAAAATTGTTGATGGGCCATGAGAAGCAGTATCATATTACTTGGCAGCACACCAAATAACATAAGCAGTATATTTAGTTAGCATACAGTGACATTACATTAATAAACTATGAATTATGATTCTAAATGCCTGATGCTGCAGCATATTGATTCAAAGTGGCATATTGTGGAAAATTACATTTTAATAATCATCAGATGTCATGTATATGTGCTGTCTCCATGTTAAATTGTTTGATAATAAATACTGTAGTTACCAAATAAACCTGGTAAGGACTTTTTCCACTCACTTAAAAGAAGGCCTTTATTTACTCAGTTAGGCAAGAAAATTGACAAATTGGAGAAGAAATTTGAAGGAGGAATGAATAATTTCAATTGAGAATGGTACCCATATAAACCCCCATGACCAGGTTCCAAAGTTTTCTTTACTGATTCAGGTTTAATCAGAATCAAACAAACAAGCTAGGCATCTTGTGTAATGAAAATATGACGCTGGGGCATACTCATACTATTTTGATGGATGTCAATTATTGTCATTGAAAAGAAAATCTGTTTCTTTATATCAAAGTGAACTACGCACCTGTTAGTTTGATGTTTCTTTTCAACCAAAAATCAAACAATCCAAAAATGCAAGGTGATTGACAGCTACACTTCAGTAAAATTGGATTACACACAATTTTCATCTGCTATAAACCATACACACTTTCATGTTTGCTCATATGAGGAAGTTTGTGTGACTTTTTTACAGCCATCAGTATAGCTCTGTTATACATTGTATACATGCTTTAATTATATTGTATTTATACTACCCAAACTTTAATATTCAAAGTGAAAGTCATTGTGACATCAACTGTACAACATGTCACATAAAAACAAACAAAGATATGTTAACTTACAAACCATTTTGATATGTAAACCAAAATTAGAAATGTCAACAATAGTGCTTCAAGCATATCCTGATCAATATTAATTATGTTGATTACTAAAACCTTTGTAAACAATACGGTTCTAGTATCAAAAAAGAAGAGGAAACGATGTTGAGAGCTTAACGTACAAGAATGTCCACAAAACTTAAAGTGAAACCATTAAACCTGGCAATCGTTTTGTTTACATAATGTTTAATTTGCATTGCGCAAAAACAAAACAAGGGCAAATTGATTCATATGATTTTCATTTCAAATTAAAATGTAACGTTAAGATAGCATTTGTTAACTCATCAGTAGCTCCCAAGGTTGTTTTCTGCTCCATCATGACACAAATAGGAATATCTTTTATTCGTGAACTGTTTTGTGTACGCCTCCAATAAATATACAAAGGCGATGTTGATAACCCGACATTTTCTTTCCGAATCCCGGAAGAAGACAGCTGTTCAAAAAACAATTGGGAGTCTTACCAATGGGACAGTCAGCACATCTTTCTCTAAAACTTTCTTCTCTTCTTTCTTGTCTTGTGGTATCACTTTGTAGATCGTCATGGTGCCGAGAAATCCAGCAGTCCAGACGATAATTCACTCTTATCAGACTTTTCCAAATTTATTTGATATACGTCACATTTACGGAGAGTCTCGTTTGAATGTACGAGATTTCGTCTGCACCAATCAGCTTTGTTACATTTCGCGGTCTATATATACATATGTTTTCATGTAAATATCACATCGTCCGCTGAAAGGACGAACGGCTGTGAAAGTGAACGTTATCACTGTCCAATGAAATAAATGTAAATAACGTAATTATCACCAAAATGTACGTATTGCCATACAGGGACAATTTGGTACGGTTCACTAGAATGTCGGTAATCTACTTTGAGTGCAGGTTAATAAAAGCAGAGACGTATATGTGTTATATACGTCTTTGATAAAAGTAATGAAAAACATGGTTTTCACACTCCACCATGTGGTATGCTGTTCATTATTTCATACTCAACAATTGACATTTAAAGCAGAAAAGTAATCATTCCAAATGGTTTCAAATGAAGCAAGCAAATCTAAACATAAACATATATACACAAAACACGTACATATCACGCATATGTAAATAATTTGCATGTAAAATTGGACTTTTTTGCAAACTTGATAAATATAATATTTATGTAAACAGAGACGTATATATATGTGTTATATATGTCTCATGTAAATATATAAATTTGATAAAAGTAGTATAAGTGTGTAAATGCACGAATATGTAAGATATTTTTATTCATCTTTTACTGCACGAATCCAGATGTTGAACTATAACAATTGGTTTTTTATGTTTAAATGTTTTTAGTGAATAAACACATGGGCGTCTGTGTTATAGTTGTTGTCATTTTTATTAGGAATTATCAATTTTTCATTAAGGAATCTATGAATTAAATTTTTGAGCTACATTTTCATTTAGTTTATTTATTTTTTTCACTATACATAATCGTTATATTAAAGACACAATAATTGTATTTTGATCCGTGTTATATAAGATTCATTCTTAAGATCATGTCACAAAACAGCTTTTAAAGTTGTCAATTCAGTCGTGATAGTCCAATAACTGCCCTTCCCCCATTTAGAATGCGCAGTATCGCACTCTTTCGTAAGAGTTACTTCCCCTGACACAGAGCTGGACTTCGTAAAGTTTATAAACAAAAACGAAAAACACGAGACAAACCTAACTCGAAATCCGGTTTAAAACTATTACAGATGACCCCATGGAAATGACAACAAATAAATAAACAAATGATGAGTGAGTATTTGCGAGTAATTCGAGTGGAAACAGGAGATTATGACAATATTGAATGCTAACGTTCATAGCTTCGGTAAACTATCAGACAAAGGTGCTATAATAACCAAATTCATCATTTAGTAAAGTGATCTTATATGAAATACACATCTAGCACAGGGGAATATGACATCACAACATCCTCCCGTGAAATACATATCTAGCACAGGGGAATGTGACATCACAACATCCTCCCGTGAAATAAATATCTAGCACAGGGGAATATGACATCACAACATCCTCCCGTGAAATACATATCTAGCACAGGGGAATGTGACATCACAACATCCTCCCGTGAAATAAATATCTAGCACAGGGGAATGTGACATCACAACATCCTCCCGTGAAATACATATCTAGCACAGGGGGATGTGACATCACAACATCCTCCCGTGAAATACATATCTAGCACAGGGGAATGTGACATCACAACATCCTCCCGTGAAATACATATCTAGCACAGGGGAATGTGACATCACAACATCCTCCCGTGAAATACATATCTAGCACAGGTGGAATATCTGAATATGACATCACAACATCCTCCCGTGAAATACATATCTAGCACAGGGGAATGTGACATCACAACATCCTCCCGTGAAATACATATCTAGCACAGGGGGATGTGACATCACAACATCCTCCCGTGAAATACATATCTAGCACAGGGGACTGTGACATCACAACATCCTCCCGTGAAATACATATCTAGCACAGGGGACTGTGGCATCACCTCTCCCTGCCGTGAAATACATATCTAGCACAGAGGACTGTGACACAGGGGGATGTGACATCACAACATCCTCCCGTGAAATACATCTAGCACAGGGGAATGTTCACACTCCCGTGAAATACATATCTAGCACAGAGGACTGTGAAATACACCACTTCACACACTCCCGTGAAATACATATCTAGTACAGGGGAATGTGACATCACAACATCCTCCCGTGAAATACATATCTAGCACAGGGGAATGTGACATCACAACATCCTCCCGTGAAATACATATCTAGCACAGGGGAATGTGACATCACAACATCCTCCCGTGAAATACATATCTAGCACAGGGGACTGTGACATCACTTCACCCTCCCGTAGAATACATATCTAGCACAAGGGAATATGACATCACAACATCCTCCCGTGAAATACATATCTAGTCACAACATCCTCCCGTGAAATACATATCTAGCACAGGGGAATGTGACATCACTAGCACAGGGGACTGTCACATCCTCCCGTGAAATACATATCTAGCACAGGGGACTGTGAAATACATCACAGGGGACTGTGGCACCTCTCCCTGCCGTGAAATACATATCTAGCACAGTGGACTGTGGTATCACCTCTCCCTGCCGTGAAATACATATCTAGCACAGAGGACTGTGACACCACTTCACACTCTCGTTGAATACATATCTCGTATAGGGGACTGTGCCATCACAACATCCTCCCGTGAAATACATATCTAGCACAGGGGAATATGACATCACAACATCCTCCCGTGAAATACATATCTAGCACAGGGGAATATGACATCACAACATCCTCCCGTGAAATACATATCTAGCACAGGGGACTGTGGCATCACCTCTCCCTATCGTGAAATACATATCTAGCACAGTGGACGGTGGTATCACCTCTCCCTACCGTGAAATACATATCTAGCACAGGGGACTGTGACATCACTACATCCTCCCGTGAAATACATATCTAACACATTGGACTGTGACATCACTTCACACTCCAGTGAAATACATATCTAACACAGGGGACTATGACATCACTACACCCTCCCATGAAATACATATCTAGCACAGGGGACTGTGACATCATTTCACCCTCCCGTAAAATACATATCTAGCACAGGGGACTGTGACATCAGTACACACTCTCGTGAAATACATATATAGCACAGGGGACTGTGCCATCGCTACACCCTTCCGTGACAAACATATCCCGCACAGGGAACTTTGCCATCACAACACACTCTCACGGGAAGTACCTATATATTAACAGAATCGTAATTCAATTTCAAATTTGAGGAAACTAGGATAATGTATGAAAAAAGGAACGATTTACACAGATGACACTTGAAAAAGTACCAGGAAAATGAGACCAGATGTTTCGGAAGAGTAAGCATCGTCAGCTTCTACGGCAACACCCGTCATGTAAATCTGGGTAAGTATTCCTGAAAAATTGATATGTTTTTATGACTCAATGAAGAATTCAGAATTTTCCTGTTATAAACCCCGGTTTGATATATATAGATGTACACATGTATATATGTATGAGCCGGAAGTACTGGCTCATTTAGAACACATACTACACGCTTTTAAAGATGACATCCAGACTGACTCTATTGTGTGGCATTATGGCCCTAGTACTGCTGATTCTACAGACAGTATCAGTGGCAACACCCAGCTGGTTACGGGGAGATCTCGAATATGGCTTGTTTGTTGTGTGCGTACCGGGGGAATTTTGCATTCCGTATGGGGACATACCATCATGCAAGTCTTTGTAAACAAAAGCAATGCTAATGTGAATATACATGTGAAAATAAACCACAGCTATTTTACGATTTTACGAAGTGTATTTGTGTATTCATGTAACACACATGTGTCTGAGTGTTATTAGAAATTAAAATCTTGTGTCTCTTGGGTCACAAAGCTGTGTATGTTGCGAATTGAATACTTCCTGGTAGTGTTGTTTCATGTTTTGAATAATGACGTGGAGTCAACATTTTAATCTCTAATCTCTAGAATGCCACCGTCATGCTTTCTTTTCAAACAGAAAAAGCTTAAAAAGAAATGAAATAAATTAATACAGATCTTAAGAACGTTTCTAACATGCAATTGAGCTGAATATTGTATTATAATTTCTGGATATTGCTAGAGAGGAAATAATTGTTTTGTTGTATTTACAGTAATCTATATACAGAGAGTTAACCATGCAATAAGAGCAAAGGTGCAAACGCAATGTCGTGTCGTGAAGCGTGACCATTGACCTAAATAGGTTCACTAAAGCAAATGGCTGCTTCAAATTACACCATCATGCATTTGATATAATGCAGTCAGGCGTTCGTTGAAACTGTGTGTTTGCAATAGCCGATGTAAAAAACAACCTCCATAGTTGTACGGATGTTTTATATATAGATAAATACCTCCTTGGTTTCAGTGTAGTGATTTGGATTAATTTTAAACTATTGGATAGTCGTAAAAGCTTACCCAATGTTCTAGCTATCATTAATAAGATACCTTGGAGCTATTCGTTCTGTCTGGGATGTATTGCAGGAGGGGGTAACGTAATTGCTGCCATCACCACCCTCTAACGGACAATCCAGCGAACGCTACACACGGCTTGGCTCAGAACCATCCTATATATGGATACGATCAAGCCTGAAACTCTGTTTGAGCCTTGACTTTTGGTTAATAATCAACACCTTCAATGACGGGAAATCCGCGAAAATCGTCTGCCGCAATGAAACCTCAAACTTATCCATTTATCACCAAGAAAAAAAATCATATTCTTTGCAAAAGCCACCTGTGCAAAGTGTTTTAACTGTTAAAGTTTCCGTTCAGGCCCATCTCCTGTTTATCCGTAATGATTGAATCTTACATGAAGAGTTGTAGGAATCGTATATCAAATGGAAACGGCTTAAAATTATTTTCATTATATGGTTGATTTTTCAAGCACATAAGGTAGAAAATGGACATTTCTACAACAAACTCAAAGTGATTTTTGCTTTATATCGATGCTCTCAATTGTTACGTCATAATGCAATCTGTGACGTCATTTCAT